AAGTCGGCGTACGCCATCGCAAAGGGGACAAACGACGTGACAATGTAGAGTCGAGCATGAGAGATGGTACCCTGGAGCCTAATGCGAGAACTCTGGTACAGGCTGCCTTTGAGATTTCCCAGGCTGACATGGGCTATAGAGCAGCTCCCAGGGATTCCTGCTGCCATGTCATTCACGTCTACCAAGGACAGTGGACACTCCTCTGCGGACGCATAAGACGTGATAGTCGCCGACGAGACAGATACTCTCAAATTAAGTACCGACTTGTGGGTCGGGCTGAGGTCCCGTTGAGGGGAATCACTGTGTATATCAACTTTGGTGTTATCTATTTTGACGACCGTTGATGCGGATACGTCAGGGCCTGCCACGCAGACTTGGAAAGCGGGGATGCGAATGTCATATACGGTAGGGTGTTCCGATGATTTGGCGTCTTCTATTTTGTCGTATTGGTTCACAAGGAGGCGATCGAGTCGCTTCTCGTACGAATCATCTCGATGAGATAACATAGAGTTGATCTTGGCAACGGCGGGCAACGCCTCCGGCTTGATGTTGCCAACAATTGTGTTGAATCCGATACGGATGACTTTGCCATTTGCCAAACCGCCCTCACTCCTCGGATGATCCTTTTGGTCCCGAGAGCCGCTTCCATCTATCAGAGGAAGCCACTGGCTGTGAATATGCTGACTGTGGGCAAGGCGATAATGACGTAGCCTGATTTCCAGACCATCTGCCATGTCCACCCTTGAATTAGGAGACACAGATATGCGGGAGGCTTCAGTGGACGTCGAGCTCGATACGATGTCAGATTCGTCACCATCGGACGGGCCATTGGCGCCACCTGGAATAGAGCCACCGGCGAATTTTGCCTTGGTCCGTTTCATCAAGAGGCTGTTGAGGAAGTAAGCGGGGAGGCATGCAGGTAGACGTGGGACTCACATAGTCGGGCTTTGCATTTCGTCAGAGCTGTCCGAGTCCCCTGAGGACGATCTTCTGTTCCCTTGATGATGATCAATCAAAGAATGAGTGCTTTCAGAGTCATTGGCGAGCGCGTCGGCTAGACAGATGAGCAATGGACACTGCGATGCAAACGGCAGTCTTACAAATTTTCTTCAAAGGCAGCGGAAGATACAAGCCGTTCACAAATCGCCTCTCTGTATTCGTATCAGTGATTCCATACTCGGGACGTTGTGCATGTTACTCACTTTGTGGCTTTCCGCCCTGGTACAGAAACCAGATCCTACCGGTCGCCGTATCTTGGTCTCTCAAGAACCGTTGCTGCGCCTCCACATGCTCTTGCCATCTTTCCGGCGCATTGTAGATGTCCAGAGTCATACCGAGGCAAGCGTTGCTCACAACTTGCCACTGTGATCCTGGGCCACGACTGAGTAGGTTGGCAGTCAGAGAAGGCATGAGCATGCTGGTATTGGAGGAGTGAGACCGGGTACCCCAAGTGCTTGTGTCTAGCAAGAGGCCTCGGGGAATATCGATGGAGATGGAATGATCACCTTCAGTCAACATGACCAGCGCCTTCTCTACACAAAGCTTGAAAAATGTCACTGCGATATGTCAGCATTGGCATTGGGAAATCGCGATGAACGCACCGTCAGGCGGTGTTTTAAGTTGGTAGTTCTGATCTGGAGAATTTTCAGGATCGGAGAACGTATACCCGACGGCAGATCCCACAGCCTGCAGAGTGGAAATGAAATCGCCAGTGAGGAACGCAGTCACGCTTGTGATGTTGGCTTCCCACAGACAAAGGTACGTCGTTGCTCTCGGCTGAGGGCCAAACAGCCTGATGGCTTTCAGTTCCATCCCTTCGAGAAAAACGACCTGGTCATCAGCTAGCAACGGCGCGCTGCCCTTACGATAGATATCTATCAAGCTGGGCGCCGCAACGATGTATGTCGGTGTAGCGTTCAAAGCCAGTTCCATAAATTCGTCCACCGATTTGATAGTCAATTGGAGCTGGGGCACGGGCAGAGCGATGCCGCTGGTAATGTTGTAGATCTCGTCCGACATGACGATGAGGGATTCCTCGATATTCATTGTGATGTGAGCGGCGAATGGGTCGGACTGCGAGATGTCAGCCAATGTGCCCGTGTTTGTTGCTCACTCACCCGGCCCGGTCGCCACTTCTCTTCCACAGGATCCCCCACTGTAGCGGGATCATGATCGAACTTCTCCAAAAATTCTGCCATAGTGGTAAATTGCGTAAACGACCCAAAATAGTTGTCTTTGACACAAAAGAGCCTCCTCAGCACCCATCCTAGGGCTTTGAACCGTACATGCTTCCCTTCCAGATGAAGAGTCAAATTCTCTTCGTGATCTGGCCGTGCAACGGCGTAGTAGCGGTAAGAACCAGAGGCAGTCAAGCTTCCTACACGTCCAATTTCGTAGACGTCTGTTCCAAAAGTCCTGTGTGTGTCCCATATCGGCACACACAGTTCCACAAGAGCATCCGAAAGCGATACGTTGAATGGTACAACAGATGATTCTGGACGATACTGGGTGGAGGCAACTGCCACTACAGCATCGAGTCTAGGACCATACACGTCCATGAAAGCTTGACACAATGTTTAGTCGCGATACTGGCATGATAGAGCCGACTTACCGTTGCTATCTCTTGAGCCAGGGGCATCCACGATATTATAATCATTAATGTAGAGATGGAAGGCGTAGTTGATGAGCGATACCCGGAAGTTGTAATGGCAAGGTACGAAATGGTGATAGTCGCCGCCTGTCGTACCAGAACTCCAGTCTTTCGCTAAATCCGATATCAGAGTCACATGGTCGCGCAGAATGCTTATTGCTGGCGAGTCGAAAGCAACGTCCATGCCCCAATCACGCTGCGCGTTCCAGCGCAAAGGCGTTGGCATCGCCATCGACAATTTACAAGTCTTGGATCGGATGAAGGTGTCCAAGTTGACACTCGAGCTGATCGCTAGTTGATCAAGATGAAGGACCAGCATAGATTCGTATCCGCGGGACGTGGCGATCTGTTCTTGAGTGTACACTACAGAGGAATTTGGTCCGACGGCGACGTCGAGCCACCCATACCGACGTTCGGTGTTGGAGGAAGCATTGTCGTACTGCCAGTTCTGAAAAAACGTCAATCAACATAAAAATTAAGGACGAGGACAGGGTGCTTACTTTGGAACTCTCGCGGGTCGGTATTCGCAAGGTGGTCTCATCTTCCAGCATGATTCGAAGCACAAGAGTTGTGTGGAGTCGACTCTCTCCCTGGTTCAGCCGAGGTCTGGGCTCACTGTCGAAGAACAGCGCAGGTGCGAATGCTCTTTGAATTTGTTCGCGTTGACGATCGGCCCAGGGCCCGTATTTGATGATGCCTTTATGGATCGTTATATCAATGCCGTATTCGGGAGGCAAATCGACGTTGCCTATCTCATCCAAAGGGTCAATGAAAGGCGCGGAGAGAGGGTCAGGTACAATTCCCGGTGTATCCGAATAGTATGTTAAGGTGAGTTCTGGAGCTTCCAGAAGATGGGTCACCTTGGCATACTCCAGCTCTTCTTGGGTACTTTTCTGACGTGTCGTTGGATCACTGTCTTCTGGCAGACGATAACGAGCCAATCCCTTCCACAATTTGTCTGTTGGAAGACCTGGAACAGGAGGTGTTGAGAATTTTGGGTCGTATAGGAAAGGGAACTGCTTTGCTAGCAAATGGAACCCTGTGAATATCGAGATGACCGAAGGAGGTTGGCGTGACAAGTCTGCCTGGCGCTTGAGTAATTCGTCATACACCTTCTTACCGTGCGCCAACAGCGGCCCCGAATAATCGACGTTGGTTCGTGTAAGCACATTCGCCTCATGGAACTTCAATTCCACCGCCAATTTGTATTGGTCCAAGATCGAGCGGGAGTCGCAGGTCTCAAGGGTCCCTTCCACTTTTTTGAAGTCGCCAATTAGGACTGTGGGAGTTGCGTCACTACCCAGTACTATAGATCCTGCTATGATCCGAAGCTCAAGTGGAAGGGCTTCGCGAAACCAGTTCACACTATCTGACGACGCCTTCAATGGTTTGATCTGCGCTGGGAGCTCGTGTGTTGGTGATGTGTCCGCTGTGCAAAGTCAGACGAGTCTTTGGCGCAAGGGGTATACTGACAGCTCTCTTTGTCATTATTCATGATGCCTTTTGTTGGGCTATCTCTGGTAGGCATCCTACCGAGATTTCTCAGGCGAGATCGCAGCCCTCCCTCGTCTTGAGACTCGGTCGATTTGGTTTGCCTGAGTTCCTCATCATTCGCTTCTTTCTCATGCTTCTTCATGCGTTCCACAATGTCATCGTAGGCGGGCGTACGATTATACACAAAAGCTTCGACTCCCTTGGCATAGACGACGATCCGACAAGGCAAATGGTCTTGCAGACTGTCAGCGACGCCACAGAAGTCAAACCAGCCAGCACTCACTTCTTTTGCGGTTTGTCGATCGAGTGTCCGATTCACTCCTCACATGGAATTTCCAGTATCTCCAAGTCACATGGCCGTTCAATGCTCTCACCGATATATTACTCGAGTGATATTCCAGATCACGGAACGATATTCGGCCGGCCAATGGTGATATTTGGAGCGATCCTATCGAAACGTACGCGTGAAGAACCCTCCATGAGTAGATTCGGACGAGAAATGTGAGGACAGAGGCGAGGAGTCTGTTCCAATAGAACAGAAAGGCGGTGGCTCCGACAACGACTGCCGCAAGCTCGATCAGGAGGACGAGGTTGACTTGGGCCATAGTGGGGGACAAGAGGCGGGGTGTTATCCGCGCTGCTCCATTGTCGCAGGGTGGTAGATGAGGAATATAGTTGACAGGCGGAAGTCTATGCGTGCACGTAGTAACGAACGAACGAAGAAGCCGAAAGCGGTGACGGCCGGGCACAAACAAGGTATTTTGATCCCGTCGTGCCTCCACTCCGCGCTGCAAAAAGTTGCGGCTGCGATGGTAATTGTGCATTCACTGCAAGAAACGCAGCAACCACAAAAGCAATGGCCTCGAACGTGCTCCCGCTCTTTTGGCCACTCGCAAACTCCGCAAAAGAGACGCGTCTCGACGCATCCGCAAGCCTCGTCAACTCCCTCCAATCCTTCCAACAGTCTTACGCCGGCCCCTCGAAGGCCGCCAACGAGGCGCAGGATGACGAGGAGCAAGAGGATCAGGACAGCCAGAGTGATGACGGCGACGAGTCAGGGATGGAGGTTGATGCTAGCGACGGTGAAGGGGAAGACGGTGGCATGAACGTGCAGGCTGTCAAGCTTGACCGTCAGATGAGCAGGAACAATGCCGAGGATGTCGTTTACTCGGTGAAGCGATTGGTGAGGGGTTTGGGCTCTTCACGAGAGAGCAGTCGACTGGGTTTCGCCGTCGCACTTACAGAGGTAAGATCACACTTTCCGAAATGGACGACGTGCTGATAGGTCGACAGCTCATGTCTCGTATACCAACCATCACTGCCCCTCAAGTGTTTTCTCTGGTCATCAGGAACTCGCAATACAGCAAGAACATGAAGGGATCTGACGAGCGGGACATGATGTTTGCTCGTCTCTTTGGTATGACAGCGATCGTCCAGTCTGGAGCCCTTTTCACCGCTGGGGCCAAGGCAGAAGACTTTGAAGGCGTTGTGCAGCAACTAGTCGCCCTGGGGAACGCAAAGGCATGGATGAGAGAGAGCTCCTGGTGGACGGTGGTGCAGGCGACCCAAGCTTTGGTTGGCAGCCAAGTCGCTTGGAAAGAGGACGCTTTGAAATCAGTGTTGACATCTGCTTTTGAGGAGAAGGGTTGGACTCAGGAGAAGGTCGCCTTGGTTTTGGTTCTGGAACAAACTGATCTTGTGAGTTGTGCAAGACTAATCTTGAGGCAATTCTCATGCCAATTTTAGGATATCGAGTGGAAGCAGTACCTTGCGCCAACTTTCAAGTACACCCCTCTCCTCGACAGCCACAACCTGGTCACCCTGGGACGCGTGCTCAAGGAAACCACTGGAGACGAGGAGGATGGTGTTTCTGCATCTACGACAGGCTCCTGGAAACCACAGCTCCACTTTGTCTGGAACATTATCCTCGAACGCTACTTTCCCAATTCTGAACCTTCCACTTCCGAAATCGACGCCCCGTTCCAAGATTTCTTCCGGGTCGTTGTCGACGAGTCTCTCTTCTCCAACACGGCCTCTCCTCAACGCCGATTCTGGGGTTTCCAAGTCTTTGAAAGGGCTTTCCCTATCCTTCCCGAGTCTCAGATGCCCCTCATATTCACCCCCAACTTTATGCGTTGCTGGGTCAACAACCTCTCTTCTCCCGACAGGTACCTTCACAAGGCCGCTCAACAGATCGCCAAGCGAGTCCAGGAGGTCATCAAGGGGAATCCAAAGGTCGGGTTCACGTTGCTATCCCAATTGGTTGGAAAGCACGGAAGAACAGATTTCGATAAGGTCACCAAAACCAAGACTGTAGAGTCCATCATGGGCAACCTGAATGAGGAAGGTGCTAGGGACTTTGTCGACTATTTGAAGGACATCATTATGGGTACTTCTCAGGACAAGTGAGCATCATCTGCACCCATAACACCACGCTATTACTGACTCGCCTTCAGCTTGGATGCTGCTAGATTAGACGAACGCCGCCTTTGGGCTCTCGAGCAGATACATGCCCTCTGCAGGAACGGTAATGTGCCGAAAGAGGATGCTTGGATCGCTCCTTTGCTCGAGTTCATGATTGTCCACGGCTTTTTCATCATTCGTAATGTCAACAAGAAGAGCTCCATCTCCGCTGTGCACACCGTTCCCAGGCCGCCTCTTTCAGAAGTCACCGCTGCTGCGTGTCGCGCCAAGTTCTTTGCCTGTATAGTTGAATTGACTATCGCTGCTGTCCCTCGGAGATGTGAGTCCTTATGCTAGTCAGTCGCCAGTACTGACGGTCAAACAGCCTCAGAGGACACCACCGTGCCCCGCCAACAGGGTTGTGATGCTTCTGGGAAGCTCTGGATTCGACGAGTTGTTGACACCATCGCCGTTCTGGAGAAAGACAAGAAGCATGTCGAGGTTCTGACCGATGCCGATGATGAAATCAGGGAAATCAGGAAAGAGGCCTTCAAGAATCTTGCCGTTTTGGCCAACACTACAAAGGACCAGCAGGAGGTCGCCAAAGCCTTCGAAATCCTCATCTCCTTCTTCATCCTTCAGACCTATGACGAAGTGTCCGACTCCATTGAGAATGTTGAAGAGATCAACACGGCCGTCCAAACGTACCTCGGCAAGTCTCATGAAGAGGTCGCCGCTGTTGACATCTTGTTGGACGTCCTAATCGGGCTGCTGGATAAGGGCTCGAGCGATCTGAGGAACTTGGCCAACCTGGTGTTCGGCATGGTGTCCTCGGAATTGACCAAGTCGAGTCTGGAACACTTGGCTGCCGTGAGTTGATTGCAAACATCATAGATTACTACCGCTGACATAATGTCATAGCAACTCGAACAGTCTGCTGCGGAAGCTGCTGCTGATGGTCATTCGGACGAGGAAGCCGAAGATGACGAGGGCTCTTCTGACGAAGCCGAGGACAACGAGTCCGAGTCTGACGAAGATGACGCCGAAGTGGACGACGAAGAGATGGGTGATGTCGACCCCGAATTCCGAAAGCGAGTCGCCGAGGCCCTTCAAGTGTCTGGCATGGGTGGCGACGGCGAAGAGGATGGCAAATTGGAGGCTGATTCTGAGGATGACGAGGTCTGGGACGATGAGCAGATGATAAAGGTAGATGAGCAATTGGCGAAAGTGTTCAAGGAGAGAGCCACGGCCTCCTCCAAGAATGATAAGAAGCGTGAGTCGTGCACCACCCTGATGCTTTATATGATTGTGGCTGACGCCATTCCTATCCAGAGAATTTGACCGAGTCCATCCATTTCAAGAACAGGGTTCTCGATTTCTATGACACTTACGCCAAGCGTCAATCCACCAACCCTCTCATCTTGCAGGTGGTCTTAACACTTCTCAAGCTCATCAGAGAGGGCGGAGTCTCTGAGGCTGAAGTCGCCAACAAGGCTGCTGGAATCCTTCGAGGCAAGTTCAACAAGCCGAAAGACATTCCCTCCACGGCCGACATCTCAACGGCGACCACTATCCTCAACGACATACACGCAATGGCTCAAAAGGCCCACTCTGCCGAGTTTTCCAACCTGTGCAGTCTGGCATCATTGTTTGTCGCTCGAGTTGTCGACGCCTCCACTTCCGGCTCAAAGTCTTCGCCTGTGGTTGATGCCTACAGATCAACTCTTAAAGACTTTGTCACCCGCAAAGCTTCTCTTGTCCATCCCCCATTCATACTCGATTTCATCAAGAGATTCCCACTCCAAGGCTTCGCACTCTCCCCCGACCTTATCTCTTTCGTCGCTCCCGGTGTTGCCGTGAACTCTTTCCGACAAGTCCAGGTCTACAGTGCTTTGCAGACCCTTGCTCAGCACCTACCCGTCATCTCCAAGACCGTGCCCGCATCTGACGTGGCGACTTTCGTCAACGATGCCAGTAGTAGAGTCTTCACCACTCTTGAAGCTGCCTCCACTGCCGACTCTGACTCCAAGGAGTCCCTCAACGCGCAGAGGCTCAAAGACGTCGTGAAGTTTGCCCTCCAGCTTGCGAGAAATAGCAAAATCGTGGGAGTACAGTGGGATGTGAAGCGAGTTGAGGCAGTTGGCTCGCAGTTGAAGAGCGGGGATAGGACAAAGGAGATGAAGGGGGTGCACAACATGTGGGGACAACTAGAAGGCATACTTGGTAATAAGAAGGCGGAGAAGAGCAAGTCGAAGCCTAAACACTCTGAGGGCGACGAGATGGACGTCGACTCGGAACGGAAAGTAGCGGAGACCAGCAACGGCAAGGCCAAGAAGTCCAAGAGATCTTCCGATGCTGCTGCTGAGGATGACAAGCCAAAGAAGAGAAAGGCAGAGGAAGGGGCCGAGAAGAAGAAGAAGTCAAAACCCAAGGCCTCCTCATCATGATCTTGTTTTACGTAGTAGTCTAGTTTCGTATCTATATTCCAGTATTATTTCCCTCTTGCTTTGTGCATTCAGCTTTGTTGACTACTTCACAAGTTACATACATGCTCCCATCAGACGCGTCAAGTCTACGTCGTCAAGTTGAGCGATCCCCACACTATCTCCGCATTTCGCAAGATGTGAACGTGCTCCCCTTCTCCGCTGTAGCTATCCAAGAGTAATTGCTGGGTCCTCTTTGTCACGATATTTCTCCTCTTCCTCTCTGAATCGATTTTCAGCTTATCAGAACACGATTGGGCCTTCTCCAATACTGCTTTGGGTAAGCCAGCCAATCTGAATGATGTTAGTTTGCAGGGCATGAGTATGAAGTAGTCACGAACCGAGCACACCATACACCAAAGGATGCGTTGGCTAGGCCGGATGTCAGATTGTACAGGAATGTGATTTCCTTGCTTCCATCTGATGACAATACCGAATATCAATGAGCATCGCCAATGGTTGTACATATGAGGGGACTCACCGGGCAGCGTGGTCTCGTCAAAGCTCATATACCAATTAGAGACCTGGGCGGGGTTTGATCTGGCCAGTTGTTCGGCCACTGTAGGATAATGAGTGACAAAGAGGGTATTGCAGCCTACACCAGCCATATGCGACAAGGTTGCGTAAGCTATAGCGACTCCGTCGTACGTGCTGCGAATACTGTCAGAACCTTGAATTGCAGATAATACAGCAGTGCCATACCTCGTCCCCCTGCCAAGCTCGTCCAGTATCACCAACGAACGTGGAGTCACGGTGCGTAGGATGTCGCTTGTCTCAGAAAGTTCCACCATAAAGGTGGATTTGCCGCGCCCGATCTCATCCGAAGCTAGAGAAGAGTCAGCTCCCAGGATCACGATATATCCGTATGTCGGACGCATGCGACTTGCCTCCCATTCGACTAGCTGGCGTTAGCAGCAAGTACCTTTTCCACCCGAAGAACTCACGTATGAACAGCGTCGTGGACACCCAAAGTGACCGATTTTGCCGGTACAAATGATCCCATTTGAGCCATGCAAACGATGAGAGCCTAACTCGGATCAGCTCAGGATGCCATAGAGGAAGCGACATACTATAGCGCGGACAGTTGAGCTTTTGCCCGACATGTTGGGCCCCAGTATACATTTCGTAGCACCATCATCTTTTGAAAAGCCAATATCAAAAGGAACGTAGGCGTCTTCTTTGAGAGATTCTGCCATGGGGTGCCTGCCTTCTTCTATTCTCAATTCCGTGTCGGCCACAAATACTGGCTTACAGTATCCCGAGGACACTGCGGCTCGTGCAAGAGACATAAGACAGTCAATGACTGCTACCTGTTTGGAAACAACCACAAAGTCATGGCACTGGGCGACTTCGGCTTGAAAGTCGAGGAAGGACTGATGGGCCACCTTCGATAGCTGCTCTTTGAGCTGCTCGCGCTCTCTGGTGCTGATTTCTGTATAAGCTGTTGATCCTTCATCTGTCAGGGCACAAACAGTTGGAGGACTTCTGGAGTATGGTAGCGAGTAACGAGCTTCGTGCTGTACCGCTTATCAGCGCTACATCGAGATCAATTGCGCGGTACAACTCACGCGCTGATTTTGACCCATTTTGGCGGGACGAGTTTTAGGCTTTTATTGTTCACTTCAACCAGATACTACGTCTGATTGTCAGCGCGTTCGTCACCATACACAACGGATGCCCACCTCGATATTGGAGACGGTAACGTATTTCAGGTCTGGTCTTTTAATCACCTTCCGTATCTCACGAAGATGTCCGTCCAGCTCCGACTCGCAGACGCTCATGCACTGCAGAGATGTTCAGCACTGTCCAAAAGGCGAACGAGGACAAGACTTGCATCTTTGACGTCTTGGATATCGGGGTACCTATCAGGGTCGCTCCACAGATTCGCTTCGTTGTTGGCTTTAGCTTCTTTCATGTCTAGTGCCCCTAAGAGCTCTCGGGCACGTTCAACGATGGTAGGAAGCGTATTCGGTATACTGTTGAGAAGTGATGATCGAAAGACATTGCCGATATTTGGCTTGAATTCTGACCCGAGTCTGACTAGAGACACCAGAATGGTAGCAACCTCTGTGGGTAGAGCTTTCCCATACTGCACGCGTGTCAAGCCCTTTACCAGATCGGGCATGTTCACCAGTAAGCTACGGAGCTTTTCCAACAGGTAGGTGTTGTCATCGATGATTTCCTCGATGGCATCGGCCCTCGCTCGTAGCGCACTGTATGCGTGGCGTGTGTCAGTGCAGACCGTGGGGAGCCAGAGGTCACTTACGCCACATCCAATAGAGGACGGCCGATCCATTCACGAAGAAGCCGCTTGCCCATACGAGTCCTGCAACTGTAACCAGGTAAATGATCAATCACACTGGTTCATGTGCGAGTCACTCACTGGTCTAGTACTTGATATCCGTAAAGAGTCAGTGCTACAAAAATGATCATGCTCTAGTTGTCACTTACACCACAACAAACTGCCGTACAATCCACCATCTGTTTGATTTCGGTAAATCTCACTGAGTATTGTAAGCCTGGTTCATGATCCAGCATGCTCGCTCGTACAGATTGGAAAGAGTGTTGCTGGATAGAAGCATATGCGATCTGTTCATGAACTGCGTATGCGTATGAGCTGAGCCAAACTTTGTCCGCGACAAAAACATGTCTCACTTTGACAAAAGAAGACGTATACAGCAATGCGTTCTCAAGCCCGAAACCTGCACCTCATTCATCAGTGTTTGTTATTGGGATGAGTAAGGTTGCCACCTTTCATGTGCCGTATGACGATGGCGAGGGCTATCACAATCCGCCGCGGAAAGTCGACGATCTTGAGTATTGCAGACCCATCTATGATCGTACGTCAGAGTCATTCCAAAAAATACGACATGCTCACGATTGATACCGGCTGCCAGTGGGACAGCATCTTCGATTTCTCCTTCTGTGACTTCTTGGGGACTGTCGCCAGATGATATGTTGGCTGTTGCGTTGGTCTGTTGAGCGCTTGATGCATTAGAGTTTTGATGGTAAAAGCTGGTCAGGAAATCAAAAGACTCGTCATAACCCGGTGTTTCTTCCAGGTGTTCAACCCTAACTGAACTTGTCCTCTTCATTTTTGAGCCTCCTGAGTAATACTCCAGAACTTTTCGTGTAGGCTTGCTGAGGTCTCTCGGAAGGATCATCTCGGTTGGCCGAAAATGTGCCAGACGAGTCTCCAGTTCCGTACGTACTCGCGAATCTGTTGTGCATGTTAGCGCTCTGAGGCGATACCGCGAAAATACATACCCGTGAACTCATCCCAAGTCACCTCACCAGTCCCTGGCGTGACGCTAATCAGTGCGATCGCGGTATCGCTGTTATCGCCGCTCGCGCCGGCTGGATCTTCCACGACAACTAGCAAAGCGTTTGTAGGAGGTGGCGCAGCACCAGGGTGAATCAAATCGTCAGCGTCGGTGGCGGACATGAGAGACGATTCTTCAACGTATCTACATTGGATTGTCAACTAGGCGCATAGTTGTGATCGGGGCAAGCTTACGTTGACGCTGTATATAGGTAAGTCAACTCTCGCGTGAATGGCGTATTTCTATTATCGCCAGCCTTCTTGAGCGCGGCTGTCTCAGTCTGGTTGATAACGCCAACCTTGTAGCCAAGTGATATTAATCTATATCGCAAATTGTCAGTAGTGTTCAGACGCTGGAACAGTGCTTACTTTTTGACGTGGATATGTAATCTGTGTACGGGTATCGAAGCGCTGTAGAAATTCCTTTTGGGAAATCTAGAGGTCACGATTCAGAAGCAATCCAGGATGGGATAGCATACTCACGCTACAATGCCGAGCTCTTGAGCAGCCGTTTTGGCATCATCACCATGGAACTTGTACTTGTATCCAACTGCAGAGGTGATTAGCACCTGGCGCAGTCTAAGGCTTGTGTACCCACCTTCCATCATCAATAGTACATCGGGGTACTTTTGTTTGATCTCCATATACTGTTTTTCGAGAGGCGTATATGTCTGTCCACTTGGTCCCACCGCTGCCGCCTTTCCCTTGCCTTTGCCCTTGCCCTTTGCAGCTACTGGCTCTTTTGCAGAGTACTTCGACAGTCTTGCGTTGGCCTTCTTTGACTTGTCTTCCTCTTCTGGATACATATTATCTTGGACTTCAATAGGCGTTCCCTCGTCATCGGAGCCAGGCGTGTCCATCCCGGCCTTGCGCGCTTCTGCAGCAGCAGCTTCGTCCAAGGCCAGAGATCTCCGTCTCTTGAGAGCTCCTCCCATAGATGCTATTCTTGTTTGCCACATCTCACGTCTCCTCTCCTGTTCCTCTGTCCGTATGATGACTTGAGATGCAGGGGGATCAGGCTGAGAGTCGGGGACGACTGATGCTTGGGAGAAGACAGAGAATGTGTCGAACGCGGAGCCAGACTGGGAAGGTGGCGGGTTTGATGATCGAGGAAGACCATAATTTGACATAGCCTGGCTCGGTTTGGATATAGGTGGCAGTGGGGAGTGTGATTGTGCTGAGGTTGTTTTGGGCGGCACCAAAGGTTTCTTGAAGTAGCTCGATGATGGATTCGACATGGATTTTTTGGCCTGAGCGGTGCCAGAAGGCAGCCTAACCTTTTTGAGGGGTGGTGAATCGGTCAGATCGATGATCCCATCCTCATCTGCCGCTGCCCCCGGAGATTGTGGCGGATTCTTGCGCTTGAAGAAAGTGTCAAGAGATGGTCTGATGGACCGTCAGCGATGAGCGAGGTGGACACGGCGGCTTACTGCTCGAAGCCAGTCGAGGACGACATGGTAGGGACTGAGGGGGATATGGGCAAGAGGTGTCGCTGGGTGCAGAGGTAGATGTCAGCCAACACCCAACAGAGTCTGAACAGAGCCTAACGAAGCGCGTCACGGTGGTGGAGGTCTCCGGGCGCGTAGGACTTTTGATCCCGCTCTGGTGCGAGACTGTTTTTCATCCACAACGGCCAGACAACACCTCTCGAAGCCCTGCAACACCCCATAGCATACACCATGGCCCAGAAGCAAAGAGCGAACCAGGCCATCACCCTCAAGGGTTCCACTGCCATCGTCACAGAATTCTTCAACTATAGCATCAACAGGTGAGTGGGCACGTCCGTCGCGCCATGTTGACACGAGTGACTGATTTGGTGAAGCATTCTCTACCAGCGAGGCGTCTATCCTTCCGACGAGTTCAAGTGAGTCGGGCATATATGTCGCATTGCGCTTGCTAACTTGGGGCATCAGGATCGTCAAGAAGTACGGTCTCCCAATGCTCATGTTGACAAACGAAGAAGTCCAGGAGTACATCTCGACTATTCTTGCCCAAGTTCATGGTATGGAGCCCATCCGCTTTTTGCTGGAGCTACTGATGCCTCTCAACAGAATGGATTCTTACATCTTCTATTACCCGCCTAGTCCTCGCCATCAAATCAGCCGACACAGGTGAGACCGCGGAGCGCTGGCAATTCGACCTCTATACCGACGAGTCGGCCCTCGACCCTTTACCCGGCGGCCCGAAAGCAACTGCCAAGGGAGAGAAGAAGAAGGACAAGACCGAAAAGGAGGTGCAAGGAGAAATCAGGGAGATCATCAAGCAAATTACTTCGACTGTCACGTTCCTGCCCATGCCGGAAGGCGAGTGTATGTACAGTTTCCTCAATTCTTTAATCAAATGTGCTCATGTGTTCACAGATACATTCAACATTCTGGCCTACCATGATGGGTCATCTGAAGCCATTCCGGCTACCTGGGATGACGCCGACCCGCATCTTATCGACCAAGGCAAGGTCGAGCAAGTTAGACTGAGGAGTTTCAGCACCAATGTCCACAACCTTGAGGTCAGTTGCCTCCACTCCCCATTAGAATTAGAAAGACACTGATTCCCTATAGGCGTTGGTGTCCTATCGGATGGACTAGATTTCCCTCACAATATATGTGTATCAGCAGTCGCGGATGGGGGATGGCCAAGCGCCGCGTGATTATGCTACTGTAGACTATGTAACGAGTAACGACCTCATGATATCATGCTCACGCCCAATGCCGAACGTTACAGTACATCTCGTGACACCAATGCATCATGAATCCCTTCCGCGAGCTAGCCCAATCTCAGAGCATCTTACCGCCAGGTCCACCGAACCCCTCGTCCTTTCTCTCTTTCAGCCGCTTGGAGCTGCTGAAGATAAAGGAGTCGATAAGGCTCGCGACAGTAAGAACACCGCCAATGATGGCGCATGTGCTGTAAGAAGATCAGCTTGGCAAGTCAAAGGTGAGTCGGGGGACGTACGAAGTAAGGAAATGGGCAAAGGATTGTCTTTCCTCGGTGTGAATGACCTTCATAGGTGATATTTCGTAGCTGAAGCGGCTTGTAAGAAGAAAGATACAGCCCAAGGACAATCATGACTCACTTGAAGAAGACTCCGGGTACACCAAGAACACCGTGGCTAGTCATGTCTACGACATTCATCAGACGGGTTCCTCGCGCTACTCGCATCAGTACTCACGACCATGAGAATCCTTGCCTGGGGCATTTCCTGTTCTAAGATCTCGCTCGTACTGTGTGACACTGTATTGGTGCGTAGGAATCTCTTCTTCATCGAGAGAGACAAAGTTGGTGGAAACAACCTTAAGGAAGTCTGTCTATTGCGTTAGTACGTGTGACTGAATATAGGCCGGACTTGAGCAACGCACATTGGAACATATAATTGGCTATGGTCAAACGGATCAGTCAGGACTTTCAGACATTTCGGGCATATTTCGACACTCACATTCCTCAGTGTGCGCCTTGACTCCTTGCAGCGGGTCTTTCAATCCAAGCTTATCTCTCCATTGTTGTTCTCTCGGGAAGACCGCTTTCTCCTCTTCCTCCTCCAAATCTCCCGCAAACCTGAATTTGTGCACAATATGCCCAAACCCGTGGTTGGCGTCTCTCAGATTGGGCATAAGCTGCAGCATCTGAGCCATGTTGTTGTGATAAGATCTTCCTGGTGAGAAATGAAGGTTCCCGATGACCTTGTTCACCCTCACCCTCCCATCGATCCTGCAGCCTTCCTCGTTCTGCTCTTTCATCTTGTCCATCCACCCTTCCTCCACACACTGCTCGATACCCGCAGGGTCGGAGAAAGACCAGCCTTTGCGAACGTACGCCTCGCGTACCTGCTCGCACGAATTACAGCATCCGTTTTCGGGGGGAGTGGCGCCGTAGCACGATCCGCAGTAGCTAGGGTCTTCTTCAAGATGGGCTCGCTCGACGTCTCCTTTGAGCTCTATATGGAGGAGTTAGAGATCTTTGGATGGAGGAGCAGCAATACCTACGTTTCCCTGCAACTTGCGAGATCACTTGTCCTTCTTTGTTGAGCCTCGTCTTGGTAACAGAGTGCTCAAAACCGCTCTGGTGCTCTCCAGAGATGTCCATGACATCCAGCGAGAGTACTATGTAGATTATCAGTTTACCTCCCCATGCGTAAAGGTGACACATACGGTAACAGGGGACTCTCGGGAACTCCATGTCAAACTCAATCACGAGTTTCTCCCCCCTCGAGCGGTCCACAATGATACTCGGTTCCAAATGTATCCTTCTGTAGTCGATGAACTCGAGCATGACGGAGGTAAGGATGATGGAGAATGAAATAAACGTCACTGTCGAGAATTGTGAGCAAGAACTCTTTCGGTGCGTGGGAAATCGTACAGAGGGCTCCTGTTCTAGTCTTGATCTTGACATCTTCCATTGTCTGCCTTCGAATCAGCTCAGCTGGTCACAGAAGAGTGCAACGTACCTTGCCGAAGGCGTCGATGCCCTGGAAAGAGCCAAAGAGGCCATTTTTGCCCATGTTGCTGGTGGTGGGGAGGTAGGCACGGAGGCAGGTGGAATGTGAATGCAGGGGTTGGAATGGACTGGATCATGGCTGGACGTGTCACTCCGAGCGGGCGGAATCAAATTCTCGCGCTGTGCCTCAGTCCTGTTGATGATCTCGTACAATGCAGTAACTACTCGAGTACCGTCTCTTTCACCCGCTCTCTTATCAAAACAGCTCGTGTCGGCCTCTCCGCCCAACGCCAATAAACAAGTCATCAGAAACAAACTTGCGGTCATGTCAAGTCCGACCCCCATATATGTCACTATCGATACTTCTGTTGGCGCCTTTACCGTGGAACTGTATACTGCACACGCCCCCAAAGTAAGCCTGAGCCTACCGAAAGAGTGATACTACAGTATAGATACTGATGGAAATGGTCCGCAGACATGTAACAATTTCGCCAAACTCGCCGAGAGAGGTTATTACAACGGGGTCATCTTTCACCGTGTCATCCCAGTGAGCATATAATCTTCATATCTCATCTGTCCGTCTATACATGCTGACAATACATGAAGGGATTCATGATTCAAGGGGGTGATCCGACAGGAACAGGCCGAGGTGGAACATCAGTCTACGGAGACAGTTTCCCTGATGAGATCCATCCTGAGCTGAGATTTGTGGGAGCCGGCATCCTCGCTATGGCCAACTCTGGTCCAAATTCCAATGGTGAGCCCACACATAGTCATCTCGTATCAACAGCGTCACTGATCATGCTATGCAGGCTCCCAATTCTTCATCACCTGCGTCTGTCCCTTTGCTATTTTATGGAGTGCTTCACCCGACTGACCAGAGACATCACACACAGGCTCCCACCCCCTTCCTCGACGGAAAACACACCATATTCGGCCGCGTCTCCTCCGGAATGAAGACTGTTCAGCGTCTTGAAGCTGTGAGAACAGATAAGGACGATAGACCAGTCGAGGAAATCAAAATACATCGTGCGAGGTTGGGCGATGCGGAGCGTGGCACAGGATTAGAGGTTGCTATGCCTGCTGCTTAGGGGCCATACGCATGTAATGGGATACAACGGATGGCATTGAGAAGCTAAGCAATCTAGGAACCTATAATAGTGTTGCTGTCAAACAGTGTCAGCTTCGTGCGTATGTCTATGGCGCTCGGTCAGCTCACGCTTGTTTCCTCACCTCTCGCTCGCCCGATGCAAGACTTCCAGAGACATCAAAAGGCTCAAGCCCCATTCTGAATCATGTTAGCTGCGCGGCGCTCCATATACAGACAGAGGATCAATTGTAGACGCACGCTCGTCTTCCTTCAAGACTCTCTATGTCCTCCACCTGTCCCCGGCCTTCGAAATCACTCTCCCCAGCCCCTCCGGGGAAATCGGGTCCTGGTTTCCCCTTCAAAAAGGTTTGTTTCTGGTCGTTGACATATGCTGCGTTCTGAAGGGTCAGTGGTACAGCGGGGATATACATCACCGCCGACGGCCCTTTGCCATTATGTACTTTCTCGACGGCGTGGATGACGTCTTTATCAGTCATTAGCTCTGGTGTTCCTTGGCAAATGGATTTATTAAACTCGCCGCCGTGCCACCAAGCTTGATCCCCTGGCTTGACTCTGGGGATAGCTATCATCGTCCTGTCCAGCTCTAAATGTGGATGGGTGGTGTCATTGTATTCTTGACATCGAGCTAGCGGAGACCCTGGAAAGCGTGATGTTTCCAAGTCGAGCTCCCAATTGGCAGGGGCGAGATAACCGTCCCTATCCAAATCCGTACGAGGTTGCTTTTCCCTTCACATGTCATGAGCGCGAGGTTCTGGGCAGCGCAAAGCGGATACTTGCCTGAAAAGAGGACGGAGCATAGTATAAGCACTAAGCTCTTTGATCAAGGGGTATACTTGGAGGGTGCCCTCGTTAGGACCCGTGTTGGACATGGAGGTCCATCCTTGGAAAGCTCTAAAAACACCGCACTGGCATCTGTCAGCTGCATCCGGAGCGGCATTCGCTTGAAATCAAAGAATCATGACCTACCGACCCTGGGCCATCGTACATGCTCTGCCTCGCCTGCGCCCTCTCCCCAATTGTCCAGGAATCGAATTCTTCCCACCTCCCTTCCAGAACACTATGGTACACCCGACGATAGGTCTCATCCTCCCACCTCTCTACACTGCCACCATCGGCGTGGGGGCCTAGGGCAAATTGGGCATCGCCCGGATGGCGGATTCGAAGCCGGTCGGCATATGTGATCGGGATATGAAGCGACACAAGGTCGGTGGGAGTATGGGAAAAGAGACCGAGGAGGGCTCGCTGTACGGCCATGGCTCGAGGATGGGATCTGGCAGATAGTTGAGATCTGGACCAACTTTGTGATAGATGGCTTATTAGCGTCGATGCTCGAGTCCCAATAATGGGGTAATACTCACTATAATTCAAAGACTTGCTTGTCCTTCTCTGGGAACCCTTTCACGCTCGGATTGAGATCAATGTAAGACTTCAGGTCTGCCAACCAGTTCAAAGCAGTTTGCTCGTCCACGACGTCGCGAATGATGACGGATCCACACGTCTTGATCCGTTGCTCCAGACCTGGGGTGCGGTGGTTGATGAACTCGTCGTAGGTCGTCTCGGGTATGCACTGTAGTGGCTGTCAGGATAACGTATAAGCACGATGACAGGTCTTACGCACGTCTTGTTGGCCGCTCTCAATCTCGTGAGCGACTTTGGCGAGATGTTGGGTTAACCTCCCCCAAGAGGCCACCAGCCTTTGCTGGTTTGCTTCATCCCCAATGATACTTCTCTTAAGCTCAGCAAATCGAGGAGGGAGTGTCCTCTCCTTTTCACCAGACAAGGATGAAAATACCGAGCTTATCTATAATTCCATCATGAGTACGAACACGCATAGAGTCGAAAAGGTGTAGCAACGCGACTTACGTCTCCTTCCTCCCGCTCCTTGCGGTGCTTGCGCTCAATAGCAGATGGTGCTACCTGAGTTTGGACACTTCTGAAAAAAGTAGCTCGCTGTGCGCGACCTGCCTGCTGGCGTAGACAAGCCTTGATGCTGGTGATGCTGAACATGCTGGCGGTCCCGGTCTTGCTCGAGTGCTCCTTGCAGCTGTTGGGTGACGAGATGCGGCCAAGTATGCATACAGAGAGAAGAATGCAAGATATCTTCATGGCACATGCACTCTGTGCTGAAGGGAAGTCACGTTTGGCGGTTGGACGGTCCGGAAATCAGCAGTTTAAAAGCCGTCCGGCGGCCGATTACCGGAAGCAAATGAAGAGCTCTTTTTTCTGAGCAGCAAGATTCGTTGATGCGTGGTTTTCTTTTGATTTGACGAATCTACCCACGATGACCGGAGTTGCCAGGGCTGCTGCTCGCATTAGACACGTCAATGCTGCACCCCTCTATCGCCCTCTGATCCTCCAGCGCCAACCTGTCCTCAACGCCCTCGGCGCCATCCAGGGCAAGCCTCTCACCAGAGTCGCGCATCAAGGCCAGAGCATCGCCTTTCCCAGGAGATGGGCGAGCACCGCAGCTAAGACTGCCGACGAGGGTGATCAACAATGGCCCGAGAGGAAGCTTCCAGTTCTCAGCGAGACCGACAAGTCGAGATTGAAGAGGCAGAGAAACGTTGGAATGTGAGCACAAAATCAAGGAAACGTTTCTAGCTGGTCTGACGATGGATATAGTTCTGCCCATATTGATTCTGGCAAGACCACCCTGACCGAGCGGGTGAGTGGGAATATGATTGATGACAGTTGAAGCTTATATCTACAACCTTCAGGTTCTCTACTACACTGGACGAATCCGTGACATTCACGAGGTCCGAGGCCGTGATGCCGTCGGTGCCAAGATGGACTCTATGGAACTCGAGCGTGAAAAGGGTATCACCATTCAATCTGCTGCTACCTTCTGCGACTGGGTCGCCCCTACTCCCCCTACTGAACTCGTCGATGGCCAACAATTCGACAATGCAGGCAAGGAGAACTTTGCGATCAACATCATCGACACACCCGGTCACGTCGACTTCACTATCGAGGTAGAGCGTGCCTTGAGAGTACTTGATGGTGCTGTGCTTGTGCTTTGTGCCGTCTCTGGTGTTCAGAGTCAGACCATCACGGTCGACAGGCAGATGAGAAGGTACAATGTCCCCAGGTTGACTTTCATCAACAAGATGGACAGGGCCGGGTCAAACCCCTGGAGGGTCATCACCCAGCTTCGAGCCAAGCTCAAGATGAACGCTGCCGCTGTGCAGGTGCCAATTGGATCCGAGGGTGACTTTGGTGGAGTTGTGGATCTTGTCAGAATGAAGGCCATATACAACGAAGGCGTCAAGGGGTGAGTCACTTGCCATACCTGCTCCTGGCTCTCAGCTAAATTGTCACAGCAATCAGATTGTCGAGAGCGACGAGATTCCGGAAAGCGTCCGCGAGCTAGTTGCCGAAAAACGAGCCGAACTCATCGAGCTGCTCTCCGAAGCCGACGAAACCCTGTGCGACCTTTTCCTCGACGAAGCCCCTATCTCCAATACCGACATCGCCCAAGCCATCCAGCGTGCTACCACTTCCCTCCGATTCACCCCCGTTTTCATGGGCTCTGCCATTAAGAACACCGGGGTTCAGCCCTTGTTGGATGGTGTTTGCACTTACCTCCCCAATCCCAGTGAAGTGGACAACCAAGCTATGGACGCTACTCTTCCAGCTCATGCGCCAACGATCCCAATCGTACCAGCCGCAGATGCCCCACTTGTCGGTCTGGCTTTCAAGCTCGAAGAGGGCAAGTATGGCCAGCTCACTTACATGAGGGTCTACCAAGGTGTGCTTAAGAGGGGTACCTTGATCTACAACGCAAGGACAGGAAAGAGAGTCAAGGTGCCGAGATTGGTGAGGATGCATTCCGATGAGATGGAGGATGTCGAGTCGGTAGGAGCTGGTGAAATCTGTGCCATGTTTGGTGTCGAGTGCTCCTCGGGAGATACCTTCAACGACGGCACTTCGACTTATACTATGGTATGTTGTCGTCGTTAGAGAAGGGCATGCGCTGACTCGGGTAGACCTCCATGTTTGTACCCGAACCGGTCATTTCTCTTTCGATCCGACCTGAAGGCAACGAGACCCCCAATTTCTCTCGAGCCCTCAACCGGTTCCAAAAAGAGGACCCTACGTTCCGAGTACACGTTGATAGCGAGTCGCAGGAGGTGAGCTTATTCCGCCCTTTCGCATTCTGTTGCTGATCAAAAACAGACCATCATCTCGGGTATGGGCGAACTCCATCTTGACATCTACGTCGAGCGCATGAAGCGCGAGTACAACGTTGCCTGTGTCACCGGTAAACCTCGTGTCGCTTTCCGCGAAACCATCACCGAGCCTTCAAAGTTCAACTACACCCACAAGAAGCAATCTGGTGGTTCCGGTCAGTTCGGTCGAGTCATTGGTTCAATCGAGCCTATGGAGGTCGACTCCGACACTGGCAAGGACACCGCATTCGACAACAGGATTATCGGAGGCAACATTCCCAACCAATTCATCCCCGCTATCGAGAAGGGTTTCCAAGAAGCTCTCGACCGAGGCCTCATCACCGGCCACCCCATCACTGGGTGCAGATTCATCCTCGAGGATGGTTCCGCCCACGCCGTGGATTCCAACGAGTTGGCTTTCAGGCTGGCTGCTATTGGGGCTTTCCGCGAAGCTTTCCAGAAGGCCAAGCCCGTCGTTCTTGAGCCCGTCATGACCGTTGAGATTGTCGCTCCCATCGAGTTCCAGGGTAACGTCATCGGTGCTATCAACCAGCGTAAAGGTACCATCGTCGACACCGAGATCCGTGACGATGAGTTTACACTCTCGGCGGAGGTGGCGCTCAATGACATGTTTGGCTACTCTAGTCAACTGAGAGGCATGACGCAAGGCAAGGGTGAATTCTCCATGGAGTACAAAAACCACCAGCCTGTGATGCCCAATGTGCAAAGGGAGATGTCGGAGGCTTTCAGGACGAAGCAGCTGAGCAAGTAACGCTGTTGAGGAGCTTTACGAAAGTATTGTAGTAAAAAAAAGAGTCGTTCTAGACTCAAAAATCGTTCGAGACTTGAAGAGTCAATCACGAGTAATTTTGTATTTGCATAGCATTAGCATAGAAGTCTTGGGCATGTCATCTCCCCTCTCATTCCGGACACTAAATAAGATTAAGATGGTGTGCATTACATGCATGATTGGTCAAACGTCATCGGCCTCTTCTCTCACAACGTCGCCCTCTTCGAATTCTATGAGGTCTATACTCCATTTGGTGACCTCTTGCTGTTAGGGTGTGAGCGGAGATACATAGATCCTCAAGCCAATGCTTACTCTTTGCCAAAGTCCTCCGCACGAGCCGGTGACGCCCGCATACCAATCTGTCCTTGTCCTTCCCTTAGGTATGACAACATCCACAAGCTCAATTTCTTCGCCTCCATCCGAGGGCGGTACTGTCAAGTAACCCCTCAATCGTCGAGTATTCCCTGAGTATATCAGATGCAGAGTATATTCCTCTCCGTTGCTCAATTGCGGCAGGTCGCCTGGGCGCGTACATGCGATAGAGTGGCGGTGATGGGCATTTGGAGGGGAGTGAACAGATATGTGTGGTGTTGGAGGATCGTCGGCAAAATCCTGTGTACGATACGTATCGACTACAGTTCTTCCACATCAGCATGCAATACGTGTCTCTGATAGGGTGAGGAAGCTACCTTCGACAGCGAAATCGCCTTCATCACCTGCTCCTGAGTATCCGAGCCCATACCCCCCCAGCCCCATGCTTTGGTTTTTCGCAAATAAGATTGCAATTCCGTCCGCACCCCCGGCTTCCGGGGGTGGGGTCATCCGGAACGTCATGTTGGTAGAGAAGTTTTGAGTCTGAGGGATTGGACATGGTTGGAAAACTGCTGAAGTTTGGCTTTTAGCAGATGTGAGGACAATCTTGGAGTCACTGTCTGTCTGGACATCGCCAAATCTGACGAGGTCGCCGACCTGTGCACCAAATTGAGTCGCAACTGTGAAGATGGGATTAGCGGCCACCTATAAAGCCCTCGTAAGGGTACTGACCTGTGTATCTAGGTTTGACCACCGCTCTCTTGGCATCACCAAGTTCATCTCGCATTCTCTTCCACTCGTCTGGCCCAGAGATGCGCCCCTCGAATCCCATACTTTCGGCCTCCTTGAGTCGAGTATTCTCGTCAGAGATCCAAGATCTTTGGCTTTCATCCATGCGATAGAGACGGGCTCGCAAAACGGGATCCATTCTGAGGCGCAAGGATACCGTGACTTTGAGTAGCTCCTGCCATGTCTGGTCGGTACGATCCATGATTGCTAGAAAGGCAGACGCACCACTTGAAGGTCTCTCTCACTCCAGCCACGAGCTTGCCTTCTGACCTGACAGTCCCCGTCCCAATCATCGACATATGCCCTAGTCACATCCTCCGCCCCATATGGCCCGAATGCGCTACGGAGATCAGTCAGCTGTGAGTAGGAAACGAAAATCACTGAGATTCCTTACAGGCAATATGCTTGTTTTTTGCCCCAACCTTTGGCATATGTCAACGGTTTGTTGGTGGCAGCTTCGCTGATCAGATGTGAGCAAACAAGATGAATCACGCAATGGCGAAGGGTGGCAAGATCGAGGGTGCTTACCATGGATCTACATGTACCCAGTGGTTCATTATCGGAGACCAGTACTCACACCAGACGTGATCCTCACTTCTCATGGACTCAGCAATTGTTTAGATGACTCCAAAGTGCAACACTTGCCTGTTCCAGATGTACCTCCCTTCGATACCCTTGACTCTCATCATGGCGTAGAACAGATGCGCCCATTCACCGCATCTTCCCTCCCTACTTTCTACCAGCGCAGCCACAGTTCCGTATCTTGGAAATCTTCGTGTTGCCCCACAAGCGCCATCTGCGCAACGATGAAGCTCGACTCTGCCAGCGCCTTTCGTCGACTCCTGCGCAGACGGAGCCGCATTGCCGGCACTCTGCGTGGGACCATTGCACTGCGGACAGAGTACAGGATCGACCCAGCTCATGAAATTGTCTTTGAACCAACGACAGAGCGCCAATACAGTGGCGTCCAAGTTGCCCATCGGTTTATACGGAGGATTGCGAAGGATGCCCGCCACGGAGGTCGAAAGATCCGGGATCAAGGTGCGAAGAGAGAGTTCCGATACCGTCCCAAGCTAACAGCCGAAAGTAAGAACAATACTGTACATCACGACAGCTATAACTCACGTATTGCTGGGTATCTCTTGTGTGTTCAATCAAGTGTTGAACTGTACCCTTGAGTCCGTTCAGGTCTCTACTGGCATTTCTACGCCGGCTGAGTAGCGTGTAAACATGTCCTCTGTTGTGCGACACGTATGATCTCCACATGCGTCCCAAAGCTCCAACATCGCCGGCTGTGGGCAGTCCGATAGGGGGGATTTGTTTATATGTACCATCGACCAGGCGCGCGGCGATGAAGCCGACGATGTGGGCAAAGACCTGCCGATCTGCTTCAGACATGTTCGAGAAGGCCGAGGACGACGGGCGTAGTGGTGCGGTGCTTTGTGCTGCGGATGGTGTCTGAAGGCTGGCTGGAAAGCACCGAGCTGTTGAATTGATGGCCACCAGATGCAACAGCGCGAATGGTCGCAACTAGTCGCAACCAGGTCAAAACCAGCGAGGTCGCAACTCAGTCGCATCGGACCCCCGACTCACGTCGCGAGTGAGCGGGATCAATTTCATTACCATGCAGCAGCTTCATGATATATCTTCGGCCATTCTCTATTGTGCATGAGAGAGTGTATTATAAAGAATAATATATGTACAGAACTGTACACGGGGTTTGCCGTGTTGGCTGTGCCCCATCGCCATGCGAATCGGCTTCTATATCTTCCGCCGCACTTCAGCTACTTCCACAATCTTCGATTCCCCTTCGCTCCTCCAACCCTTCCTAGTCTCCCACTTGCCCTCCGCAAAGCTTTCCTCTTGCCCGGTCTCGACTTCCAGCTTCCACCTATTCACATTCACCAGGGCAGGATCACTGAGCCATAGCGAAGACTGCACTACCGCCGATGATACCGGTGCTAATGTTCCGCGGTACGAGAGCTGGCCAATGAAGCGGGGAGACGTCAAGGACGCCGGCCCGGAGGTATTGGATGCGTGCTGAGGAAGTGGAGGAGGGAGCGTAATAATATATCTGACAGGAAGCAGAGGGGAATGGTTCCGAACGGTGAAATGGATTGGAACGCTGCAAGGCCTGCCCGAAATCAGCAGACGTTTCACGGAGATGGACTGGACATACCCTTCTCTAAAGTCATGTTCAATGATACCGTCCTCGTTTTCACCTTCCACCCCAACCTCAACTCCGACAGGGTTTTCTTCCTGGCCCAAGCAGCCGTCCAAAACGCTGTCTAACAACAGCTTTCGCAGTCGTCCTGTCTCTTCGTACATTGTCCTTGTCTGCCTCGTGCCGCTCACGATAGCTTCCTCCACCTGCTTCTTCAGTATCTCAACAGCGGAGAAATCCGGGCAGAGGCGAAGAGCATGCAGGGTAAGGTAGCCTCGGCGAACCGACGTTTTCGAAGGAGAGGAGATGGAGTATCTGATCAAAAGATCCAACTCCAGGGGAGCAAACAGCGGAAACAAAGCTGACAAAGAGTCTATGGAGATGGTCGGAAAATGGGCGTGGAGATATGTCAGTCGATAAGCTCGGTGAGATGCGCTTAGGAACGGTAGACAATCAGCTGCAGGCCCACCAAGCAGAGACACTGTAGGTGTGATATCTGCGCGGGTCTCATCAGCAGCCCGGCCTTCGATGAGCTCTCCGAGAGCCTTGACGGTGGCGGACTGCGTGATGTCGAAAGTGTTATCCAAGTTTAGCTTTGCTGTTAAGCGCGCCCGCATAGTTTGGTTGGGCAGCAAATGGCTACTATTGATAAGTGACTGGCCACTTGGTGTTGGCAAAGACTCACCTTTCGAGGCTCTTCTCCTGCACGTCCCAAGCAGGCGCCGCCCCCGCCAGACTCTCAATCTTTACGATGTCTTCAGACACATTCTCCGCCTCTACCAGTACCGCAAACTCGCCCAGGGTTTTACCTACGGGACTGATTCTTGTCGTTAGAGCTGCTAGCGGGTGGATATTCAGCGAGTGATGGATCATTGTCGCCGAGGTCTCCTTCTTCCCCTGCTCGTCGCTGTACACCAGCAACCCTCTGACATCAAGGGCGCCAGGCGACAAACCCGAAAATGATATCGGTATATCGACTTGTTCCCCTGAAGGCAAAGGCTCTTGGTAAAGAGTTTCCAGTTGATTGAGACTGATATGATTGACGATTCTCGACGAGTCAACTTGATGCTCGGTACCCTTTCTACAAACAAGCACACCCTCACTCCAGATCATACTCACTTCTCCCACACTGTTGTTGCCAACGTTGCGGATTCTTACGGTGCTTTCCACGATCTCTCCCTCGTAGACATTCTCGGGTAGGTCTACCCATTCGGCAAGGATTCGAGGTCGCTCAGCTGAGAGGAACACCGTCAACGAGGTGTCCTCTGCATACGTAGGCTGCAACCTCTGTGCCTTTGTCGCATGTAGCCGTTTCCCTCTCTTGGCAAGGTTTTGAGTACATGGAAGAAACCCGTTGAAATTGAACGAGACACTGAGGAGCTTGATGGTGCCTGAGCTCGGGTAGGAGGTTGGGACAACCACGGAGCAAAAGATGGCGCGTGATTCGTATGGGTCGAGAGTGATGTCTGGGTAAGGTTCCATCTCGACAGCTGAAGGCGGATCAAACTGAAGCTCGAGCTTTGAAATCAAGAGAGGAGAATCCAGAGGATTGGTCACTGTCAATTCTACCGTAAAACTCTCTGCGATTACTGTCAAAGTGTGATTTTGGGTGATTTTCTGAAGATTTAGACTCACCCCCTACGCTGACAACAAGCTTCTTGTCGTCCGACAACAACGCGGCCGGCCTCTTCCCCTTTCTATTCCATCGACTGAGCGCCTGCTTCTCCAGATGCGCCCACTCCTGCCTCATAGTCCCAGACACCACAGGCGACACTGAAGCCGCGCTGATTCTTGTCTGTTTGGGATCGAAGATAGCTGTTGGAAGCTGCAATTTCTCTTTCGACTTTTTCAGCAGATCCGGATGAGCTTGCAGTTGCTCATAAGCTTGCTCTAGATCTTGCAGGGGCCCTGATTGGGAACCAAGCCCAGTGGTGTCTTCCTTTCGCAGCAACCGTAAGAAATGTTCCACAGCGACGTCACTTTGCCCCAAGGTATAGGCTTGTCGCCCTAATGAGAATTCAATGTGATTTTGGGCTGCTGACCAAGGAGCAGTACGATAGATCTCGGAGGCGCGCTCAAGACATCTTCGAGAGTATGTTTTCTATCAGGATTTAGCTATCGCCATGAGGCATGATTGAAATGCTCACCAATCCTGCAGTCTCATACCTTCTTGCAGCCAGCACAAGATGAAAGGCGCTCCTTCGCTTTCCTCTGCCATTCTTGCCGCTCCTCAAATCCGCCGCTGCCGCCTCTTCAATAAAGACGGCATTCGGCACTTCGTCTGCTTCCCCTGCCCCCTTGACCAGTGCGGCCCCGACCCCGCGCCACTCCTTGACGGCCTTCCAAGCTTCATAGTAGAGCATCGTGATGCGCAAAGCATCCACTTGTATTTGCGAGGCAGGACCGGAACGGTGATAGGACACGACGGCTTGTTCCAGCCATGAAGTCACTTCGGTATGGTGAAGATTGGTGAATGGTATGGGATCGCGATTGGGAGGCACGGAGGGATTGAAGAATGAGTGGGATAGGAGGAGGCAGAGACCGTACATTTCTGTGGCCGCAGTGGCGTAACGGAACGCCCTATCTTGCGCATAATCTTTTCGTAAAGAGTCGTAAATGTTGGACGCGAAACGGTAGTCGCGAAGCATGAATGCGAAATCAGCAAGACGCCGTGATAGACCTTCGATAGCTGTCAAGGGGTAGTAGCCGGCAGCAGCATTGTACCCTGCAGCCCCCGCGTTGGTCGCTGGGCTGTTGGGCCTGCTGCCAAACAGCTTTCTGCCCGCGCCAAACAGCCTGCCCGTGATACCCCGCCTGTTGGCATGGTACACCTCATTCCATTCTCGTATACGCGCCTCCATCCACGGGATCAGACTTTGGACGACGAGCTCGCGCACAAGTGCTGCAAGACGCTGAGTGTCTTCTGCTGTCAACTTGGCTCCGTATAATTTCCGCCGTGAAGGCTTCCCTGGTGTAGCCGATGGTTGGTCACCGTCGTTGCTTTTCAGGAGGTGCGCAGCGGCAGACATTGGCGACAGCGTTAACGACGATAAGGCGGAGGCGTAGACTTGAGACAAGGCTGATGGGTTGCCGTCTTCGGGAGTGAACGGTCGTGGAAGAGGTATAGTAGGGTGCGTGGACGTGTCGGGAGAAGGAGGTGCAGAGCGATGTTCAGTTCGAGAATTGATGACTAGAAGAGTCGAGTGAGGACCATATGCCCGTTTGACATTGGCCAACAGCTCGTGAGCACTGAGACGATCAGCAGGAGCCAGCATGAACAGACACAAGACTTACGGTGCCATATCATCTCCCATCCGACTGACATCATGAACTACCACGTAGAATTTCAGGACAGTCACTCCATCCAGCCAAGGTACATTTTGCGATCCCGTTCCTACTGTCCTAGCCTGCAGCTTACTGAGGGTGCCGAGGGGGTCCGGGGTCGATGTGGATACGGCAAAGAGGATACCGACGGGGTGGTTGAAGGTTTCGTAGGGGGCTAGAGGTCTTGAAGAGAGCAGCAGCGAGCGAGTCAGGGGGTAGTGTTGTTCCTCGTCTGTGTGCGCGTCAATATAGCGAATGTGCAGGAGATGCGATCGACTGACCGGGACGCTTGGCGGCGACGAAGCTGGTGATGGTATCGACGAGGAGGTCTGGGTCTGGGGAGGCTTGGGCGGGGTTGAGATAGACGTGTTCCCAGGGGACGAAGCGGAGGGGGAAGGTGGGGTGGAGGGTGGGGGTGAGGGTGGAGCTGAGGATGGAGACCCTGTCTGTGGCGCCCTCCCATGGGCGGAGGAGTTCGTGGAGGCCTCTGCAGCCGTTTGCCTCTGCAGAAGTGGTGACGTCGTCTGCTGCGAGGACGGCGATGCGGGGAGAGAGGGACTGGAGGATCGAGAGGGGCGGGGCGGGCATCGGGCCGGTCACTTCTTGGGGCAGAGAGGCTACGGCGCGAACTTATACAACGCGAAGATGCAAGAACAGCGCGTCTTCTATAGGCGCTCCCCGCCGCCGCACGCCTATCGCCCTCGAAAAGTCACAATTGCATCTCACTCTCCTCCTGCATACTTTACATTCTCCCCACGCACCATGGCCTCCACTTCTCTGCGGCCCCTCGTCAGGCGAGCCTCTGCCATCCCCTCCCTCGCCCGCGCCGCCTCCTCCCAGCCCCCAAAAGCCAGACCGGCCCCCACCGACGAATGGACCCTCCCCCTCATCCACCTCGGCCCTACCCACCCCTCTCGCTATGGCCAGCACTACAACAAAACCCTCTCCTCCGACCTCATGTACATGACCTACTCCCACAGACTCTCCCAGAAACCTGAAGCGCCCCCCGCCATCGAGAGACCCCCCACACCGTACGAGGCCAACCGTCCCAAACCC